ATGATATTCTTTGGAATAAGCGTATTGCCCCGGGTTTTAATATAAAAACATTCCAGGCTTATTTATCAAATAAAGAGAGTCGCAGCTGAAACTACATTTAGTCACTGCTCCATTCATCGTGAAGCTTTATACCAGAAACAATCCCCAAAAACTTATAGATCATTTTGAATCAAGCTGTAAAAATTGTTAATTTTATTAAAAGCTGAGCTTTAAATTCAAGAATACTTATGACTTTATGCGAAGAGATCAGCAGTGAATATGAAATGCTTTTGTTACATTCTGAAGTAAGGTGGTTATCCAGAGGCAAAGCTTTAAATCGCCTTTTTGAATTTTGACCAGAAATTCAAATTTTCCTCTGTGATTCAAAATTTGAATTGCAAAAATGTTTATTTAGTGAATTATGGTTGGCCCATTTAACACATTTAGCTGATATTTTTGGATAGTTAAATGAATCAAATTTAGGATTACAAGGACAAAGTGTTAATTTGTTTACCATTAGAGATGAATAAATGCAATGACAAAAAAACTCCAGCTAATAATCAAAGAATTGGAATAATATTTTAAGCTTTTTACCACTTTTAGAAAGTTTCCTAAAAATAACAATTTGAAAATAAAAGAAGAATTAGCATATAACATTTAAAATCATAGCTTTTCATTGAAAAATAATTTCAACATGTATTTTCCCGAGGATTATTGAAAAGAAAATTGGATTAGAAATTCATTTTGTTCAAATATACCTGAAATTTTATCTCATGAAGAAAACAGCAATTGATAAAAATTTCCTGTGATTGAACTCTAACTAAAGATTTCAAAAATAGCACACCTGTTAACTTTTGGCTGAACCGAGGAAATGAATTTTAAGATATTTCAAATAAAGCTATTAAATTTTTATTGTTTCTTTGCACAACTGGTTTGTGTGAACAATGATTTTCTTCCATGTTATATTTGAAAAATAAATACAGAACCAAATTAAAAGTGGATCCTAATTTATGGTTAAATTTAATGAAAAAAAAAAAGACTAGACAAAGAAACTGATCTCTTGAGGCCCAAATTTTGCACTAAATTCTAGAATTAAAGTATTATAATTTAAATTTTGATATTTAAAATGATAACCAATTTTTATTGAATATTTTTATGTGTGCATAATAAATACAAATAGCCAACAGATTGTGCAAATGGGAAAATATATTTTTTTTTTCAATATTTTAATTAAGAAATTGCATTTATAGTAAAATGTAGTAGTGGTACCAAAGTTTTCAAATTTTTGTTTAGATGGTACGTGTTAATCAAAAGGTTGAGAACTGCTGAAAATCAATGAGTTTTCTTCGGGGAAAAAGGTGAAGTGGTGAAATTAAAATTTTAGCTAAACAGAGATGAACGAAAACAAAGTATAAAAAAAAATCTCGAGCTGGAAACAGTCGAACTGGACAAACTGATATTATCCTGCAAACACATGCCACAGAAAGTCTGTGGCTACTTGTTCTGGCTTTCCTCGCCGATATCACTGAGAAACTCAACATTTTAAATCTGTATCTTCAGCTGGATAAGGAGCTGGCTCAAATGGTAGGATCTGTGAAAGTTTTCAATGCCAAATTGACATTATCGATGTCTCTAATGAGATCAAAGTCCCTGGTTCATTTTCCAAACATGAAAAAAATGGCAAATGACGACAATTTTGGGTCACTTGCAATCTTCTGGCCACCTTGAGATACTTCTGGACCAATTTGAAAAGCAATTTCAATTGCTTAGAGCCAGTGGTGAGCTTTTTTGTCAACCATTTCACCATTCACCACAAAGCAACTGAAACCGCCACAGCAATTGCAAGTATTATTGCCACAGAAAAGAAAAATCTCGAGCTGGAAACAGTCGAACTGGACTAACTGATATTATCCTGCAAACACATGCCACAGATGTAGACTTCTGGAAACTTGTGGAAAAGAACACGTTTCCATTATTAAAAAGTGTTGCATATAAGATGAAATCTTGTTTTGGGTCTACCTACCTCTGCGAATATCTGTTTTAAACCATGAACATTATGAAGTCGAAGAACCGGAACAGGCTATCTGATTCCCATCTTAACAACTGTTTGCATGCGGGAACCTCAGTATATGCACCTAACGTACTTATGTTGGTGGACGAAATTCAGTGTCAAAAATCGCATTAAGAGGAACACCATAAACAGAAGGGACACAGCTATATTTTGTAAGTAATAAAAACTTTGTGCATGAAATGTATATTTTGTTTCTATCTCGATCCATTAGCTTCCTTATGAGGGCACGTTTTTTTTCTTAGGCGCCAAGGGATGGCCTGAATATCACCCGGGATGGAAATGTTATGTGGTGCCTCCTTTGCTTTCTGAAACTGCCTTGTGTGCCTAGCACCAAACAGGTTGAGTACCACTAATCTAAAGTGATTCAATATGTGAAAAATCCAAAGAAGTGCAACAGACAGATGTGATCTCCAAATTTTTATGCAATTGAAATATAAAGAAAGAAGTCTATATTTCAAAACAGTGCAAATAGTTAAATGATCGTGGTTTACAGTGAAATAAAAAGCACTTATAAAATTATTCAATGCATGTGAACACAAATAATGGTTTAAAGACAGTGACAGTTCAGTGTTTGAGATTTCAAATGATGGGTAGCCTAATTCTGAAAAAATATTTTGATAGTGAATATGAAGACATTTGGAAGTAACCACACAGTTTTTTCAGTTTTGTTATTTTTCTACTGTTGTACTAGAATAAGCTTTTCTTTTCCACATATAAAGCCATTTTATATACTAAGTGAATAAAAATACACTATTTCCTTTTTTAAAAAATAAAGCAGATTAGAATAGCATAAATATCACCCCTATAAAAATACATTTGGAAAACAGGGTGTATATTATATACTGACAAATGAGGTAAATTATCACAGTTATAGTTTGGATATCAAAAGATATTTTTGTTGATAAAGTAAGCAACATCGTCTTAATACAGAGCATGTTATTACAGTAAAGAATATTTAGATAAATTTAAAACTGAAGTTTTCTAAAAATTCATTGTTAACATAATTTTGCTTATCTAACATCTAAACTGTTTTGACACTGAAAGCCTTGTTCTAACATTTCAACAGTTTTACTTGATTTTCGAAAACAGAGTTTTAAATAGTGTAAGTTCTTGGCATGTTCTACATACTGTGTGCATCATTTTATCACCATATTTTTATTCTATAACACAATCAAAGGCTGTATTTTAGATTATAAATATAATTTAATTTTAAGTTTTTATTTCTTTTGAATTTATTTTTTTTCCCTTTATCACTTCACATTTTTTAAAATCTTTGTAAAAGAATTTTTTGCTATTAGGAATATGCACAGTGAAAGAAATGAATTAGAAATCTCACATGTTTTTTAGTTTATTTTTAAAAACAGGCTAAGGTTGTACTAATGGGTTAATGAGATTTGGAAATACATTTGGAATATAAGATACGATTACTTAAGGCTTTTTTTCTTATTATAAGATACTATTTTAGTTGTCTTTTTATTATTATTTTTAGGCAAATATTCCCCTATATATTTGGAAATCGAATTTTTTACAGACATATAACAACAGTTTGCATTTTATCTCTTTCTCTCTCTATACATATAGAGAGAGATACAGATGTATAAACACAGATATATTTTTTTAAGTTTACAAATCATAACTCACAAAAATATACATAAATTAACTATATCAAAAGTTCAATAAATACTAAGTTTCTAAACATTAAAAATATTTTCAAAAAAGACTAATTTTTTTAAAAAGCCTGTACTATAGGTAATTTTGGCATCAAATGCTAGCAATAATTATAGTACTGTTTCCCTTATGTCTTAGCATCAAAATGTACATGCATGCAAGTATAATTTATCAGAACAATAACAGCCTGCCTTTCCCTCTCTATTCCCCTTAAAAAATGCATATAGTTGCCAAGAGATAAAAAAATTTTTTTTAACCTAATAATGAAACAATAATAAGTAAATGTTATTACTGAATTATACAATTAAATAATAATTAAAAAAATAAAGTCTATTTTATAGTAAGGGAAATCTGAAAACTTTTATGATACATAAAAAATTTGCTCAAGAATGATAGCTGAATCACTGACTTGAAACATAATGACAAAATTACATTTCCGCTTTGCTATATTTTGATATCACAAGACCACACTATTTTTGGCTTCAAGGTTTTGTCTTAACCTCTTAAATCATTCAACAGAGTTGACTAAGGTACACAGAATTAAATTATTTCCATGCACCCAACTAAATACATTCAATAATTTTTTTCAGATATGAATACAGTTTGTTTAGTTTGGGTAAGTTTTGAGTTAAAATAAAGAAAGAGGTTGAATTGTAATAAAGAATAAACAAATTGGTAGAAACAAGATTACTTTCTGAATTTTTATTGGTACACTTAAGAATTAATATAGTATTTTATACAAGAGGCCAAATTGGGGGGGAAACCCCACAAGTAATGGTTTATAGATGCAAAATAATTAATTATTCAAAAATAGTGAAGTGTAATAAAATCTGATAAAAGGATTTAAAATCAATGTTGATAAACTTTATGTAAATTCAGTATCTGAAACCTTCGTAATAAATATTGTTCGGTGTTATAGTTAAGTAATTTACTTTTATCTTACAGAGAGATATCATTTCTGAATATGTATCAAATGAAATTAAACATGACTTATAAGCTTAAAAAAATGAATAAAGACTGCTTTGCATGTTCTACACTGTTATGTCTCATACATATGCTTAACAGCTAGGGAAAACTTACAAGTATGCACTAATAAACTGTACTATAATTAAAAGGCTGTAAAAATAATGATTTGTTAAATGGAAGTATACACAGTCACAAGAAACCATACTGTAGAATATTAAAAAAATTAAGTCCAGTTTCTAATAAGGAATATTTCTCAATACTTTTGCAGTTTATACATAACTATTATAATAAGACTACTTAAAGTATAAAAACTCACTTTCACAATTTATAGGATCATCACCACTTTCACTTAATGACTGAGATTTCTCCTCATGGTATCCATTACAAATAATATTGTCAGAAACATTTTCTACACCAAAAGAGATATTAGGACAATAATACAAATACTTATTATCAGAAGGGTAAAAAAAAAAAAAAAAAATAAAATAAAATAAAATAAAATAAAAAGTATACTAGTATCAATGCAAAGATAAATCAGCTTAAACAGAGTTGATAAAGTTTAAATTATTATAAATATTTACTTTTCAGAGCACATAGCATTAAAAAGCAGTGAATAACAATTAATATTCAACATTCTGTTTAATATAAAACAAGATAAATACTGGAATAATAATTAACAGAAATATGTAACAACAAGTAAAGATTTATTTATTTATTTATTAACAGCAGTCTGATATAAAATAAATAAATACATATTAAATTCTCCTCCCCAAATTTAAAATTCCACCTCCATATTTCACAAACCTATTACTAAATTTAAATCCAGTATACTCAGACATTATGCTTCAATATGCTTTATACACTAGTAATGCTAAAAAAGTACTTAGTCTCTGATGTTTTAGTTTGTTAAAATAATAAAGCATTTAGAACAATTACATATGTGAATATTCATGGCCTGCTAATTCTGATAAACCTTTGAATAACTTGTGAAAAAAAACTGTTAATAATAAACATCACAAGCTATAATCACCTTAATTGTTATAAGAAATGAAAGGAGGGAGGAATTAGGCTTATAAAAATCATAAAAAAAATATTTTCTTCCCTTTTTGGGAAGTAAAAAGACAAATGAATTAAATATTCTGCTAAAAATAAATCCCTATAGATGTAAGCAATTATTGCAATATAAGATTATCACAATGCATGTTAGTCCATGATTTCACAAATAACAAAGCTAACTTCTCTCAGTTCTTACAATTTTAAAAGGAATTTTAGATTACCATCAGAATAAAAGAAAAAAATGTAGTGATACAAACATCTACCTGCATGTAAATATTTGTAAATTTACATCTTCGTACCAGTGTTTGAAAATATTGGATTCAATGTCGGGCACAAATGAAATGAATTGAATAGCCAGATTAAAGTCAGAAATCCATGATATATAACAAAAGTTTATCAAAACATATGTTTCATAAAAAATTAACATTACTTTGCTCCTGTTAAAATAAATTTTGAATAGTATTTAAGTATTTTCTCTTCGAGCATCAAAGTTGGTAGAGAACCAGCCAAACTTGCATTAACTGTTTCAATGCAAATTTGAAGGAGGAGATCACTCTTTATTATATTAGATAATCAGAGATTAATTAAGAGTTTATTTAATTATATAATCAATAGATACAAGTTTATGGATATATCAAACAAAGAATCATACATAAATATGCACTCTGAAATTATCTGATAGCTATACAAATATCTATAAATAAAAATAGGATTATTTACTTAATACAAAAACTCACTTTGGTAATTTATAGGATCATTGTCACTTTCACTTAATGACTTGCACTTCTCATCACAGTATCCATTACAGATATTATTATCAGGAACATTTTCTATACCGAAAAGGATACAAAGATGATATAATTAATACAAATACATATCAGAAGAGTACAGAAGGCAAAAAAAAATTCTGATATAAATGCTGAACTAAATCACTTAATGCAGAATTGTTGAATTTAAATTATTGTAAACAGGAAATATTTACTTTTCAGAAATACCTACAAATAAACATCTTTAAACTAATTATCAAAATTAGCAGTAATCACTACAACCTTATATCACAAGACATAACCCTATGTTCATAATGACACTTAAAATGGCAACAAAACTGTCACCTTTCTGAATTTGCACAATGGAGTCATGCAACTCTGTGGTGTAATATCTTGTGCATATTTTGAGAATATACCCCAATATAACAATCTCAAAACTTTGAAAATACAACTTGCTCTTCTGCAGCATGACCCAAATTTGAATTCCTTTTATTCAAAATGCAAGAGAACACATAAATAACAAAAAATTTATAGCGATCTTTATAAAAATTTAACTGACTTACTGAGTGTGTGCGATTATGGCAAAGCCTCGAGGGCTATCTGCCTAATGGGAAGGATGCCTTCGTGGAGGACTTTCTAATAACTGACTTACTGAGAACAGTACTTGCACATTATCTTAACCAAGCAGCCACCAAATTTTAAGAAAACAAACTGACAACCATGCGCATAACCATCCTTCAGGCAACCATGCTCCTAGCAATCCTTCAGTCAAGCAATGCTGCCGTTTTTGTAATTTTTTTTATTGCCATATTCCAAGTTCCAATGGCTTTTATAATCAAATTGTGATATTTTTGCCTTAAGCTTAATTTAAAAAAAAAAATTTTGTAGAATTTGCTAGGAATGAAATAAAAACTACTAAAATTTCTAAAGGAATACAGAATTTTGCTGCAAAATTTCTAAAGGAAACAACAAGAAGATGCATTCAGCTGATTGCTACTGCAGAGTATCTGCAATTCTCTGATGTTTTTCAAGTGAAAACAAATTGTTCTATTCTACACCCCCCATGAATACAACAGGCCTGCTGTTGTGCTTAAGCTGTTACTGTATGTCCTCTGAAGGAGGGGGGAGGGAAACTACTACTTGTGCATCATGGCCAAAGCATGGGAAAATAATACAAAGTCTTTAATCCGGACATCCATAATCCAGAATGATCTATAATCTGGACCTCAAAGCTACAAACTTTCTGTGCATGCGTAGCGTTTACGCATGTGCATAACACGTTTACGCATGCGCATAATACGTACGCGCATAATTCGTTTACGCATGTGCGTTTAATGTATAACGAACAGTATACGCTAGGCTAAAATTATCTAATTATCTATTTCAGTTAATGTTGCAGATTGCATTATTTCTTAATCTTCTAATTGGATTCAGCTTGCAGACTGTTAGAGCAATTTCATAAAAAGTAAGCTTGAACTTTCGATTATGTCAAAAAGAGTTTCCGATTCTGGAGCTGCCAAAGGATCTACAAAGCAAAAACATGTTCGATGTCCATCAAACAAAAAGCAGAATTGCTGCAAAAAATGGATAAAGGCATGAAGAAAGGGACAGAGAGGTTAGCCAAAATGAAAAAATTTCGATTGGCAAGTTAGTCGGTATTCTCGGCACAGCAATTACAGGACTCGAACAGCGGAACTTTGTTACTGAAAAGAAATTATGTCTGTTTATAGAATTAAAGAGAAAGTATTATCACATAAAACGAAGCAACTTAAACAACCTGCATTGAAAGAAATGTTTAATGAAGTAAACAAATAAATATTAAGCTTTTTTTTGTAAATTTTGATACCCTTTAGATCATAATTGCTCTTTATTTCATAAATTACGGTTTCATATTTTTAATTTTATAATTTCTGCATGCCACATTACCAGATTTAAATTGATGATCTACAATCCGGAAAAACCCCTAATCCGCAATCGCCTGGAAGTCCCGAAGAGTCCGGATTAAAAGCTTTGTACTGTACATGAGCATCAAAGGCCCTTGAAATACTTTAGCTTCCTCTGTTGCTGCACATTTCATATCATAAGCTTAAATGTTGCACTTCATAAATTACAGAATTATTAACAATGTGAAGAAAATATGCACATTACAAATTAAATGTTATATGAAAGTGAAAAATGTACTTCACAACAGACAGTTCTGAGTTGAAAATAATATGCAGTGTGAAAAGGGCTAAATATTATTATCAGCTCTTAATAGAAATTACCTTGACAGCTTTCTTTACGGCGTTTTCATTTTCCACTAGTCGAGCTCTCCAGGATTACTTTCAGAGGGTTTTCCTATGGCTTATGTTAGGGTGTATTCATGTAAGTAATGTCTCATATTGCCTAATTTACCACAGAGACACTGGTTTGGACCTCTAAGGTTGAACTTATATACATAGGCTGGTGTAGGGCAATGTTCAGTATATAGTTGGGTCAGCATGGAAACTTTCCAGTTTTAGGTTGACGAGACTAGTGGGAAAAAGTTATGAGTGAAGACGCCCTGTGTCTCTATATCCCACTGCCTTTTCCAACTGTTGTCCGCATTTATTTTGAGTTTTCAGTTGACTTTGGGTTGGAAATATGTCTCACAAAAAAGACTGTGTATGTTGTTGCTACCTTTGCTAACATATCCACCTTTTCATTTACCTCATGCCTACGAGGGTTTTGATCCTAGGTTTTGATACTTTGCAGGGTGATGAGACCATCACTATGAAAGAAAAGTTTCCGAATAACATATACCAGTTAACTTTCAAAGGCGCCACCACTTATAGTTTCAATATTAGATAAGCCGTCTGTGCATATAACTGTTCTAAAATTTTTACCGAGACCACTTTACTGCTCGAGAACTGCAAATAATTGTACAGTTGGGGAGAATAGCACGGAAAAATTAATGCATAAGGGTAAATTGCATGTGCTGGCCACAATAATTTTATTGGTCTAAAGTATTCCAAAAAAATCAATACCTTATGTTTAGTGTGTGACAAATATTGCATTCCATGTTTCAATCATGAACATGCAAAGAAAAAGTAAACATAACTTACCACAGTATCAGAAAATATATAACTACTATTTATAAACCTGGAATTTTTACTATTTGGTTATGTATGCTAATGTATGTGCATATGCTAGAGATTCATGTATAGACTATCATGTATAATTTGTGTCTGATCAGTGCACTCACATCATATTTCTCTCAAAATATATATACATACCATTTGTAATAGATCATTCCAAATCTCAATTTTAAAAGGGTATTTTTAAACCATACGATAAATTTTGGGGAGAAAAATAAATGCAGGTTATTATATATGATATAACAAGGTATTTTATATCAATTTTATTTACTTTTGAACAATACATTGTATTTTTCAGAATACTGCAGCACATATTCATATATTCTGGACACCATTTCCAAAAAGCAAAACGAATTATTCCTAAATGAATTTATTTCAAATTTTTTTTTTACTTTGTACATTTTTATGAGTAATAAAGAAATAAATTTAGGAAATTACATATTTTTGTAATTTGGAAGCAATTTGAGCAAAGCGTTTCATAGACCAAAGAAATTTGCATTCCCATACAAAACTACAGAAAAGGTGATCTACCAGTGGTATATGTGGCCACAAATGTGAACAGTGCTGTGACCCACTGGTGGATCACAAAGCCTTAAAAAATTCTTTCTTCCCAAACATGCAAGGTATCTGTCAGACATAAATTTGCAATGAAAGCTGTGTTTGTTTGCATCCACTGTGGTACAAAACTGGAATGTGAGCTGAGCTCAGTGACAACCATCCAAAGATTAAAACACATGCTTGTGGCATATGCCTAAGGTGAAAAAAGCTGCACTAAAATTTCTGCAGGAATACAGTATTTTGCTGAAAATCACTAACAGAAACAATTGCTTTTAATCTAACCTTAAAAGTGATTGCTCCAAAATTTCCACCTGAATATAAGAAACAAATATCCACTTGTAGGTAGTTTTACTGACAGATTTTATGGATAAGTAAGCATAAAATACATATGTTATAATATGTAGGATTATCATATCATGATAAAACATAAAATATATATGTAATAATACAGATGTAAATAATGTATGTAATAATTCTCTGCTATTACAAATCAACATAATTTTCTTCCGCAAAAAATTGCCAAATTGTGCTAATACTAAATATGAAACTGGGAATTTGTTCGAGAGAAGACACTTAACATTTAATTCAACAGAGTTCATACGGAGGCATAAAAATGCCTTCATAACTATCTGAATGCATTTGCCAAACAATATCTACCAGAAATCAAGAAATCTGTTTGATCAATCTGCTAACATGAAAACAAATTTCACTGCCAAAAGGTGATAATAAATTATTGGGTATTAAATAATAAATATTAGTAAATTAGTAAACAAAAACTCCTTTCATTTTTAATACTTTGAAGTATGCTTAAATGCTGGCCAATCAAAATTCTGTAAACCAATCTGTATCAATGGCACCAAAAATTCCTGTGAGGGCACACAAGTTCATCGTGAAAGAGCAAAATAAGTGTTGGCGATGTTTAAATAGTAGCATTACTTTTACCTCCTTACTACTACATTTCAGCATACACATGGAGTAAGTTTCAACTAGACACACAAACTATGGAAAACAGATTTCAATGAAGGTTGGATAACTAAAATTATGCTAGGACTACAGTCATGGAATCTCGACTTTTCAGAAATATTCATGAATTTTAATAACAGTGATAGCTTCTTTCTCTCAGCAAATTCCAGAAATTTAAAGGGGGGTGACTAACAAACTGCAATCACATCAAATAAAGGAATATTTCAAAACTCTTATGAGAATGCTGCAACAGTAAGGCAAACATTTGCAGGCATATTATCAGTTTTTAGGTTTGTCACAAGTATTACATGATTTTTAAAGAATCATAGAAGAATTAATGATAATAAGACAAACAATTAATGTTTTGGTATAAATACTGCACATTTTGAACAATGAGAATTTACAGCCCTTAATCAATGCACAGACTGAATTTTTTCCCCTTGATATAATTAAAAATATTCAATATAAATTCAAAGAAATAAAAGTTTTCATAAAATAATACTAATTTGGAACCAAAACTAAATGTGAAGATATTTTGACTTTTCACTAAAGGTATTTTAAAAAAAGAGAGATTTAACATCACATTCTGTGCATTATTTAAAACAGAATGATAAATTACAATCACGTACAGAAAAAGTAACACAGTCATACACAAAAAAAGGTCTGATGGTAATATATATATACCTACCGTGACTCTTATTTTCTGCAACAGGTACGTATGATGAAGAATTATAATCTTTCTTAACATTTTCTTGATGATGTCCTCTCCTTAAAAATGGGGCAGGATTTAAAGCACTAATTTCAACATCAGATAGCAATGCACTATAATCTTCCACCACTCTATTTTTTACCTTAGGAAATAAATGAAATGAGGAAATTTACACAAATGAATTTATGAAATAAATTTATTACATGAAAATGTTTTTAAAAGTACTTGAAAGTAACATGACTATAAACTTTTGATATTTAATTTACGTCTAAATGAAATATAGCCTAAATAATGAGGGAAATTTTTCTAATAAGTAGATATAAAAGTTGACAAATAAGGAAGTACATTACGAAAATGCATCTAAATAAATCTTTCTCAGAACTTTTAGGTCAATATTCCCTTGTGTAACTTACTTTTTGCAATGTTATGCATGATGCAATAACAGAATTGAGACTGGTGCTAGCATAGATGAAAATGTTGATGCTGATCATCTTTATGTAAGTATAATTTTATAAATACTAAATACAACCAAACAATGTAACACCAGAGATGGATATAGTAGTATTAAACATTCAGCAATTTCAAATGAAGGTTTCACATACTGCTGCATTACACATGGAATGTGAAAAAAATATGTGTCAGGTTGCATGTTAGCATGATAAAGACAGAGTGAGAAAAACATGATCTTTGCTTTTCTCATTATATCAGTCTACTATCAAGTAGACAAAGAATCCTTAAGTTACCAGAATTTCTTCGCAGAAGGATGTAGCACCATTTCATCACAAGTGTAAAATTTTCAATTTGATTATGGTTCGATTAGAGATTTTACTTTCACTTATGCCATTACACAAATGTCTGCATCATCAGTATTATACAAGAAGCATACAACATGAATTAATTTTAAATAATGTGCTTAACAACTTACACAGAAATATTTATCATGCACACACTCTACAATTAACATAAAAATATTTATTATATGTAATTTATTACTTTTAAAATGGATAATTAAGTGAAAAAGACTTTAAGGCTTTTATAAAATAAAGTTAGAATTTTACTATAAATATATGCATGATTAATTTAATATTACAAGATTATTTACAATAAATAGATTTTAATTATTAATTAATAGATTATTTAATTTTATATTACTTATTTTTAGTTTACAATATTGCTAAACATAATATAGTACAAAGTCCGAGATCTGGACTCGTTGGGAGTTTGGCGATTATGGATTTGGGATTTTTCGGGAAACTAGATATCAGTTTAAATCTAGTGAGATGATACTTCATAATTACAAAACATTGCTAAACATAATATAGTACAAAGTCCGAGATCTGGGAGTTTGGCGATTGTGGATTTGGGATTTTTCGGGAAACTAGATATCAGTTTAAATCTAGTGAGATGACATGTAGGAATTATAAAATTAAAAATATGAAAGAATGATTTACAAAGTGATAAAGAATTTATGACCTTAAAAGAATCAAAATTTACAAAAAAAAAAGGGGGGTTCAATGTTTATTTGTTTGTTTCATTTAACGTTTCTTTCAATGCAAGTTGTTGAATTTGCTTAATTTTTTGTGCCAATACTTTCTCCTTAATTTTATAGACAGACATAATTTCTTGTTCAGTTCCACTGTTCCATTGCTCAAGTTCTGCAATTGTGGCCCCAAGAATTCTTACTAATTGTAAACTGAAATGTTTTCATTCGCAACAACCTCTCTTACTGTCTTTGTTGTGTCTCAACTTAAGTAGACAGGCCCGCTTCTATTAGGCATGCAACGAATGCCCCACATGCAGCTGGAAAAATTTATGGGAGCTAAATTCAGTCAGTATCCTATAAAGTGGAAGTTACTTAACAAGGGCAAATACATTATTTAATATTTTTTTTTTTTTTTTGTCTGAAAGGATGTAAAAAAAAATACCTTTTTATCCAAAGAATAAATTAAATTATTAGATTACATATACAGGGCATTTCACAGATCATGGGACAAACTTGGAGGGGTGGTGGAGCGTACTAAAACACACATTTTTTTATAGGAATGAAGGGTCTAAAGTGACGGGTTAAGGTAGGAATGCAAAAAAAAAAAAAAAAAAAAAAAAAAAAAAAAAAAAAGAGGAAAATGTGCTTATGTACAAAATCAACGCAAAGTGCTTCTTTGTAGCAATACAGTATTCACAAATAAATGTTCAAAATTGCGAATACCAGCAGTAATACATGCTTGGCAACATCGCAGAAGGGACTGACAAACATTTTGAAAAATGACAGGCATTTCGTGCACGCTTGCAGCCGCAATGGATAGTCATGCGATGAGGTCCTCCAGTGAGTCAACAGGAGTCTCGTAAATGATGCTCTTCAGATGGCCCTATAAAAAAAAAATCCAAGCTGGATAAATCTGGCGAATGGGGTGGCCATCGAACGGGTCCACCAAGGCCAATCCATTGGCTCGGAAACGTCCCATCCAAGTAATTGCGGATCTGCACGTGGTTATGGACTGCACTATCATGCTGGAACCACATGTGATCACGAACGACAGCCGGAACATCCTGCAGCAATTCCGGTAGCATCTCTTGCAGAAAAATATGATAACATAAGCCATTTGCACGTGGCAGGTAAGAGATATATATGGGCCTATGAGGTAGTCGTTAACAATACCCGCCCATGCATTCACAGAGAAGCGGGTTTAGAATGCATGTGGATGTGTGCCACATGGATTACAAGTTGCCCACACGTGAATGTTGTGGCTATGGAAGATGCCGTCCTGTGAGAAAGTTGCCTTGTCCATAAAGAGCACATCCAATGGGAAATCTGCCTGCGCCGCACACTGCTGCAAGAACCAATGACAGAAATGAACTCGAAGAGGGTAATCTGTCTCTTGTAAGGCTTGGACTCTCAGCAAATGGCATGGGTGCAAACCATTTTCATGCAATACTCTCCAAACGGTGGAATGACTCAGCTGCAGATGACGTGCAATAGCTGTTTTACTTGTCTGAGGTGATTCATATGCAATGTTCAAGATGGAATCTTCAATGCAATGTTGTCTGCTGCACTTCTTCTTCCACTCCTAGTGTCAGAGGTGGCTTCAAATGACCCGTTTTCACACAGAGACAGATGCAACCTCTCGAACATTGTGTGCTTCAGCATACGCCTGTTCGGAAACCGTTCCTGGTATAACCATAGCGCTGCTCTGCCATTCCCATTAGCAGCACCATAAATGAGATGCATGTTAGCCTTTTCCATGTGCGTAAACTCACCCATCACGCTCGACATCAGAGTTGCGAATGATCCTCTGATGCATCAGATCGTGGTTTGTCCGGCTCACTACTGCTGCATTGCCAGCCAATCACAGCTGTAGTTCCTATTACTATTAGTGTTCCCTTTTTTGAACATTTACTGTGAATACTATATTGCTGCAAAGAATCACTTTTGCATTGATTTTGTACATAAACACATTTTCCTCTCGTGTTGTTTTTTTGTGTTCCTGCCCTAACCTGTCACTTTAGACCTTACATTCCTATACAAAATGTGCATGTTTTAGTATGCTCCACCACCCAAGTTTGTTCCATGATCTATGATTCCACTGTATTTAAAATTATATGAGCACACAAAATAACCTGCACATAAGCACTCGCCACCCCCCCCCCAAGAATGGGCCTATTAGTATCAATAATTTTTTTTGACTTTCTGGACTGTAACCATACTACAGATTTGGCCATTTAATGATTAATTGGGGCATTGTCACTACTTTTATGCTTTGTCAATATACTGATTTTCAGCAAAAGGTATTTTTCTTTGCTCTTACCAATTCTTTAGTAAATCCCTTAAACAGCCTGACATATGATAAATCCAGAAATGTTCTCCTTATAAGATGGATTTGAAGGGGATAGTCATCCCAATGAAAAACTTCCAATATATAATCTTCATTCATTACCACTTCTCCACATTTCTTCATATTCTATTAATTGGAAAATTTCACTTTTTGCATACAATAACTGAAAAACCTTCAAATTTGTGGCTATCATCGCAAAGCTTAGCTGTCATCTGCTATATACTACTGGCAATGTATCATAAGATTGGCAACTAGAGATGTGTGTTTCCACTGTCTCACTTTCTATAGCATGTTGATGAAGTTATGCCTGAATTATATTAGTTTAGTTATTTATTATACGTATACCTATTTCCTGTTTTCAAAAGCTTAATACTTATCTGAGGCCTGAATAAATAAATTTCCACATAAACTTAAGTCAGTGCTAGACATTTTGTGGCCTGGTGCAATCTCTGACGCACCTCATGAAATTCTAAAAATTTTGCATCCTATTGCTTTCCCTAAATTTTAAAGATTTTGCCATCCTTAATTAGCTCAGTGCTTCTCTAAATTAAAAAATTTGTGCCTCCTCTAAATATACAAAAAATTATACAATAATAAAAATGAAAAAAAAAAAAAAAAATATTATAATAGAAACAACAATATTTTAACAAAAGTTAACTATTGTTTACTTTTGTTAAAATACTGTTGTTAACAAAAGTTAACTATTGTTTGTCAATAGTTATTTGGACCTTGCATCACAATTCAAAATTTTTTGCATATTGTATATACACAGGAAGTATAAAACAAGTTAACATAAGTATTGTGAATAATTCATTTTAGCATTAACTACTTTCATGTAAAAAAACAAACATTATCATATGTTCCAGATTTACAAAGCAAAGAGGCCATCTAATTATATAATGAATTTATTACTTAATACAGTCAAAAGTCTTTAATCCGGACTCGTCGGAACTTCGGCGATTCCGGATTATCGATTTTTCCAGATTATAGATCATCAGTTTAATCTGGTAAGATGGCATCAGAAGTTATAACAATTAAAAAGAAAAATTAAAAATATGAAACCGTAATTATGAAATGAAGAACAATTATGATCTAAAAAATATCAAAATGTACAAAAAAAAACAAAAAAAAAAAAAAAAAAAAAAAAAAAAAAAGAGCAAGCTTAATATTTATTTGTTTTTTTTTTATTAAACATTTCTTTCAATGTAAGTTGTTTAAGTTGCTTTGTTTCATGTGATAATACTTTCTCTTTAATTCTATAAACAGACATAATTTCTTCTTCAGTTACAAAGTTCCGCTGGTCAAGTCCTATAATTGCTGTGTCGAGAATAGCGACTAATTTGTCAATCGAAATTTTTTCGTTTTCAATAACCTCTGTGTCACTTCACTATCGGAAGCGAATTATAATGAGTAGGAATTTGATTTAAATCATATCAAAGACGGAGTACATCGAGATAAAATACTACATTTAGTAAGAAATTATAAGACAAATAAAATAAAAACATCTGTCCTGAAGATAAGGATAGTGCTGACAGATCAACTTCCAATTCATTGCGCGCCGTGTCGTTTCCCTTCCCCCGCAGAGCAGCGTGAAATTGATAAACATATTTCGGAATGATTAGATAATCAAAGGATATGCCTTTATCCATTTTTTGCAGCAATTCCACTTTGGTTTAATGGACTTCGAAACATACTTTCACTTTGTAGATCCTTTACATATAGTAAATATATATCGGAAATTCTATTTGACATAATCGAAAGTTCAAGCTTACTTTTATAAAATTGCTCTAACAGTCTGCAAATAATAAGCCGGATCCAATTCAACGATCCATTAAAGATTAAGAACAACGCAATCTGCAACATTACCTGAGAATTAGAAATAATTCAGCTTAGCTTATACCGTCCGTTATACATTAAACGCGCTTGCGTAAACGTATTATGCGCATGCGCACACGCATATTCGCAGCCGTAAAGGTCTTACGCGCATGCGCAGAAAGTTTGTAGATTTGAGGTCCGGATTATAGATCATTCCGGATTATGGGTGTCCGAATTAACGACTTTTGACTGTATCAAATGACTATATTATGACTATTAAATAGCCATTGACACAATATGCATAAATAATTTATCTCTTTTCACTTTAAATTCTTCATTTATAGGATAATGTATGAACTTTATTACTTTTATTAACTTTAAACATTAATTAGTACCATCTGCATTTCTGAAAAGACACTTTAAAATGAACTAGCTTTAACTCAGTTCATACTTGCAATATATTCAGCAACATGATACTATGTATATCTTTAATAAGATCTTCAATACACAACTTCCGTAAACTCGACATTAACACATAATTTTATACCAAATATCATAAATATCTGTCTAAGAATAAAAAAAAAATAAATAAATAAAATAAGAGACCATTGCAAGTCACAAATTTGAAAGTGATACCCAACATTATTAGAATATATTTTAGATAGAAAAAAATATAACACATTGAAACTCTATACTGTTTAATCTGAACTTAAATTTAGATTACAATGTGATGAGAATAAAAAAAGAGGTTACTTAATTGCAAAATTTACAATAACAGACACACACTGCAAACAATGTGAAATTAAAGAGAATCAAGTGAAGAAAAAGAAAGAAAATCTGAAAGGATTTAGATTTTAACATCACACCAAACGATTTATCGAGGTATTTTATGCTCCTGTTGAGCATCACAAGTTACCAATTTGCTCTTGGACTTACTCCTGCTCACACATCCCTCCTTTTTAGCTTTTTGATTAAGCATCACTCTATTTGCTCTTACACCACATAACATTCAAAAGCAAAATCACAAAATATTTTAAAACAAGCATGTCTTTGGAATTACTCATAGCATGCTAAAATTGCTAAACATATTTTTTTATATATTCACTATATTATTTCTTTGAAAACTAGCCATTCAAGTGGTCAGCCACCAAAAAGAGTTAACATAAAAAAATGAAAAAGTATACAATGATTTTATGAATTCAGCTAGTGTCATTTCATAAAAATGTTTAATATTTCTAATTAGACATCATGATTTAAAATGCATTTCTATTTATATCAATCAAATTAAAAAGAAGAAAAATATTTTTAAGAATTGCATTTGTTGCTTTTCAATCACTTGGTTTGCTACTCAGTGGCAGAAAGTTTAAATCTGAAAGTTAACTATCTTACGCATTACTGAATAACACATTGGTGAATGGAGTTAATAAGTATTCTACTTGAAGCAGTGGCAACATATTGCTTTTACACAGCCTAATTTGAGGATTAAATTTGAAAGATAAATATTTTGGTAAAAATATATTTACGGGTGGACCTTGCCGATAATTGGTGAGTTTTGGTGGTACACGGACACCTAGTTTGTGCGATTCTTTGACTTGTTATTTTGCCTTTGTGTAGCAATTGGCAATTTTTACGCCAAAAACAAGTCAAGAATTGCACAAATTTGGTATCCATATACACATCGACCTATTTTCACTTGAAAAAAAACATCAGAGAATTGCACAAACTAGGCATTGCACACTTCCTTGACTTTGTCCGTGTACACATCAATCTATATTCACTTAAAAAGTCAAAGGAGCAGCCAACAAAAATTTATAATTTCAATTACATTTTAACTCAATGAAATAACATAAAAAAAAGAAATTCATCTTAGCACTACACAAAGGAAATATCCACTTATTTAGAAATTTCTGTGTCTTCAGTCAAACAAAATTCCTTAACAGCATTCAAAAACTTCCCTAAAATTACCTGAACTAGAATCTCTATATTGGCGTCGCCACATAAATTCACAAAAATAAGAGTAAAAAATATTATCTGTAGTGCCGGTATCCTCCATCATTTGACCATACGCATTTCCTTCCTACAAACAGGACACTTACAATGGCTACTAAGTAAACCTTCATTTACACACCAGTCAATTAATGCTTTTTTCCCTTTTGTTCCACCACAGAAACTTCAAATTAATCTTACCAGATTCAGCAATTTTACTGTGTAAACCACAAAATAACAACATACTTCTTATATAAAACCCGACACTCAAACAAAAGTCTTTCCAAATCTTTTCCCATCATTCAATTTCACGCAACCAGCTACGTCATAATAGGGATTCCATAGCATTCAACTACTCAGGTTACCATAAATGAAATAACAACTTAGTGATAATCTAAGGGGTACCCTTAAATCTACTCTAACCAATATTTTACATATTCCTGAATGGCAAGAATCTAGCATGCTGAAGATAGAAATGTTTTATTTCAAACAGTGTTGCCACTTCTCACTTTCAAATTTCTGTGTTTGTTAAACAAAGCCATTAAATTTGTTCAAAATATGAAATAAATCAAAAATAAATCTAAAATTTGAGCTTTGAAGTGCCCATATTGGTGTTAAAAATTCAGTGCTCTAGATGCTGCCATTTTTCCCCAGTATTAGGAGCATACATACATGCACACAGATTCTCACATAACATAATAAGATGCCCAATATAATTGTAATGCAAATGTTAAAAAATGCTGAGCTTTTATTATAATGACCACTGTTTGAATTATGCAGAAGGTAAAAAAAACTGCAGTAGCAGATCAATAAGAAAGGGGGAAAGAAAAAGGAGAGAAATCCCATAAATAATGGCCTTCACACAGCAATTGTAACCGTAACCTTAAGCATGCAACTCAAAAGAATAACACCTCATTTTTATCAGATCTTTACATCACAGTGAACATGATACAGAACCGTATGCACAGAAATCATGAACTTGAAACCCAGTACAGCAAATGAATATTTTTTCCTTAGCAAACACTCTGATCTGGGGGGGGGGACAAACTTTTATATATATATAAACATCTTATGGCTAGTACTCAGAAAATAAAAATTTTAGGATTTTTTTAATTCAACCTGGTAGTAGTAAATGTAGTTACTTCTGCACTTTTTCTGCATACTTAACAAAATTCAGGCCATACCATAATTTTGCATTTGAACTTTTGGAGCATCTCTGAGTGTTAGTTTTAATCAAAACAAAACACCTGCATTTAATACTTTTTTCCATCACTATTCAGAGAAATGTATACTTTTCTGGATTATACGGATAATTAAGAAATCAAAACTTATTATTATGAGGGGAGGAAAAAGAAAATGCACAAATGTTAGAAGCTCTTTAATGCAATGAAAGATGTTGAACTGTGGATTACTTTACTGCACAGTTCACATCAACTTCTACACATTCAAGATAATTCTATATATTCTAAATAAATTATTTTTTATAAGAGAAAAAGGTTGCATTTTTTAGAAGCAAACAAGATGCTCTGTTACATTTCTGCCTCTCCATCAATACCTACAGACTGTGCTTAAACTTCAACTGAATCAAATTCTTTATTCTCCTTCCTACCAACATGAAAAGTCTGAAGTTTTAGGAAAATTTCATCATTCAACAAGTTTTATAAAATGATTTTAGTTTAAAGATCAAAGGAAAAATAAACATTAGTTTTATGGGAGAGTTTTCAAAACTAACTTGAGAGATTATAAATTGAAGATTCAATAAAATGGTAAATGTAATATATTGCACAGCACTTAACAGCTTTCTGTTTAGCAAAGGATGCCTTAAGTGGACTAGTTCTAATAATCAAAATTTCATATTTACCATACATACATAAAAAATCATGAAAACAACTATGGAAAAAGCAGCTCAGTGCTGGAATTCGATTGGAACAATGTTAGAGATCTATGGCATCATTTGCTTAACTATTAGCAAATTACAGAAATATTTGTATATTTTCCCTAAATTTTTCTTTTCAAGATGTCTAGTTTATAATTCTTATTTCAGACATTTCCCACACGTTGATATTATGAATAAATTCACGCCGTTAGTTTCAGAGCAAGGAAATTTAAGTTTTGCAGTCTTACCCAAGATTCAGGTTGAATATCTTCCCTTTTCCTTCCTCGCCAAGTGTGTTGCAGTGTAAGATCTCTTTCAACATATGCACACTTGCGTATGACTTCAGGCATTTTGTTAAATTCAACCCCAAAATCATTCTGCAAAAACAGAATTTGATTCATTTAAAAATAATATACAATGTATTTGTTTAAGAAATTTGATAAATAAAGCAACTTACTTCTCTAAGGTCCATATGCTTTATATATTTCATATTATTTACAGCAGTTGGAATGATTTTCAGCTTGTTTTTATATAAATCCAATACCAATAAGGAAGTTAAATTGTTAAATGATTCAGGAAGTTCCATCAACTGTGTAAAAATACATAAAAGGAGCATGTGACACAAAAATCTATTATGAATATCTCTATGAGTTTTTTAATAAATATCTATTCATAATATGCATACAAAATCTTCTGACCATTTCTTTGGACTTTGAATGCAAATTGTTTAATTATTCATTTTAAAAAATAAAACTTGCATCTAAATTTATTTGCATTGTTTTTCTAATTTCAAACTACAATAGACTTCTAATTAATCAGGATAACAATGATGATGATATTAATTGTTAATCCATATTTATGATTAATCTGATTACAGTTAAAGAAAAAACATAGGACAGAAGAATAACCTATATTGATAGAAAAATACTATTCACTATTTAGTTTTATTTTTAAGCAGTTTAATTTAGAGCATAAATTTATTTAGTTATGTAAATTAAATAGCACAAAACAAGAGAAACACACTTCATTCCAGAAAGAAAGAATTATTATTATTTAATATTGCTGTCGAGTTTCAATAGGAATCAATGGAAAACAGAAAATTAGAAGCTGTACACTTAATTTATTTTTAGAATTTAGCAATTAATTTTTAATGGATGATTTAACAATACTTATATATTCTTGATTATGTACTATTGAAGATTGAAAAATCCCTAAATATTGTGACATCATAATATTTTTAGAAAAGGTGCAGTTAATTGTATTAAAGATATTTACTCAAATTACAGAACTATAATATTAATAACAAAAATTCCTAAAATATAAAGAATGCATACCAAATTATTATCAAGCCTGAGCTCTTGTAATTCAATAAGCTTACCAAAATCATCTGGTAGATAAGAAAGATTATTCATGGACAACAGACAAACTTTCAACTTTTGAAGTTGGCAAAAACTTTTTGGTAAAATTCTAAGAGCATTATGACATAAATTCAAATATCTCATATTTGAAAGGCATCCAAAATTTGTTGGTAACTCAACAAGTTCATTTTCATCAAGCTCAAGTTTAGTCAGATTACATAAGTTACAAAATGAAGATGGTAAACGAATCAAATCATTTCCATTCTTAAGAAATCTGTTGCGTTCTAATTCATCTAATGGACTTCCCATATCTAGAAACTTCAAGTTCTTCAACTGTCCAAAGTTATAAGGTAGATGTGAGACATTATTTCCACTTAAATCTAATCTTTCTAACAATTTACAGGTATCACAAAATTTTTCATCAAAAGGCATCTGTTGCAAGTTATTGGAGCCAAGAAAAAGTTTTTTTATGTTCTCCATTTCAGAGAACCATGGGGGTAAAGAATCCACACAATTATTTGTTATGTAAATTGTTTTTATGCATTTGGCTGCTTCCAGTTTTTCAGGTAACCTAGAAATTTTATTATTAGTTAAATCAATGACTTCTAATTTTGATAAATCTTGAAAGCTTTCAGGTAGGCAACACAAACAATTATCAGATAAATTCAAAACTTTCAAACAGTTTAATTTTCCAAAACTTTCAGGTAAGCTACTTATTGCATTGCCACTCACATCAAGATATGTGAGAGAACATAAATTTCCAAAGTTGTGAGGAAGATTTTCAAGAGCATTTTCATCTGCAGTTAATTCTGTCAAATTCACAAGTGATGATAAGCTTTCAGGTAATTCCAGAATTTGATTACCAGTAAGGCACAATTTTTGTAATTTTTGCAAATTGCTAATACTTTCAGGTAGCTTGAGTAAATTATTTTCTTTTATGTATAATTCACAAAGATGAGATAAACAACCTATTTCATCTGGCAAGTGTTCAAGCATATTTCCATTTAAAGATAAACATGATAATGATAATAAATTTTTGCATAATAGTGAAGGAACTCTGGTAAGATTGTTATAATTAAGAAAAAGTTTTTGAATTTCTGTTAACTTTAATACTGTTTCAGGAATTTCATCTAATTCTTGAGACGAATAATCTATGTAAGTGTCATTCATGGTCAACCTGTTGTGTACGTAAGTGTCATTCATGGTCAACCTGGAAACCTGTTGAGAGAAGAAAAAAGTATATTAATATTTAATAAGAGTAATTCTTACTACTTGCTTATTCTTATTAACAACAACAAACAAACAAACAAACAAAAAAAAAAAAAAGGGGGGGGGCGGGATGAAATTTGTTACATTTTAAAAAATTAAAAACATAAAAAATTGTATCCTTTTTTAAATAAAATTAAATTATGTAGTAAATTATTGTAAAGCATATAACATAGAATTGACATGTTTCACTTCAGCAAATATATACAATATGATTTTATGTACTCACTCTAACCATGCATGTATTTCAAGGATAAAATTTACCATTTTTAATGCCCTCTATATTAGGTATAGCTATCTGTCCTCTTTTTCCGAGACATTCCCATTTTTTGGCCCTTTAAAAAGGTTCTCAGGGGGATTTTCAAATGTGTCCTAGGTTTTTAAGATACTGAAATTATATAACACTCTGAAAAAATGCAATCCTCATCGTGATAAAATGATTGTATGCAGCAAGCAGAAGAAGCATATAACATGACTGAGGAAATATGCTGAGAAACAAATAAAATGAATGGCTCTTGCTTATGCTTGTTTTGTTTATTCACTTGCATATGAGTACTAAACAAATTCATTGGAGCAGGCAAACTCCTGTTGTTGGTCAAAAAATAATTAAGTATTTTGGCCATAGTGTTCTATTAAAAATTCTGCAATAATTATGAGCAATAATTATAGGAATTGCATGTTTTGAAAGAAATATTTTGTATTTATGTATATAAATACTGTTTATATAATCTATATATTTTTTATGCATGTATAATCCTAAACTACTGGGCCAATTAAGATGATAGAAACATTATATGAGATGGCTTAAAATATATTATAGTTTTGCATTAAAGTCTACTGGTTATTTTTCAGATGCAAAAAGATGCCATAGCCAAAATGCATTTTTAATGAATAATTGGAGAAAAATATGTTTATGAAATAAAATTTATCTGCAAGTACAAATACATTCAGCAAATTTATTCACTGCAAATAAGGACTCTTACAATATCACTAATAAGCATAAAAAATGTTACCAAATCAGGCTTCCTAATATAGGTACCCCCCCCCCCGAAATCACCCCTAAATGATAAGGCCCATACAGTTAAAGGAATCATTACATATCACAAAATGAATCAACTTGTGATGTTTTTATCTTTTGATTGCATTATGAATATTAAAAAAGTATTCTTTTCATGATTCTGATACTACTAGAAACTTAACTAGCAATAAAACAAAAGCTATAGTGCTATCTCCCCTATATATCTTGTAGCAGCTTCCTCTATGCATAATATTATCTTTGTTGTCACAAAGTTTAGTTTCTCTAGAGTGGCAACAAAAAAAAAATAATAAATAAAAAGAAGTTCACTTTGATGTTGTAACTCTAACATCTTCTTTTATTATTATGAATTCAAATATTAATCCATTATATCATTTAAAGTATTAAATGATTATATGGATTAATATGTCAATCATTTAAATTATTAAATTATCTTATGGCTCAGTGCCCAAAACAATTTCCACTATTGTGCACTACACTAAAAACGTGCTATCTCCACTATCCAGCACATACAGTCAAAAGTCATTAATCCGGACTCGTCGGGACTTCGGCGATTCCGGATTATCGATTTTTCCGGATTATAGATCATCAGTTTAAATCTGGTAAAATGGCATGCAGAAATTATAAAATTAAAAATATGAAACCGTAATTTACGAAATAAAGAACAATTATGATCTAAAGGGTATCAAAATTTACAAAAAAAAAAGCTTAATATTTATTTGTTTACTTTATTAAACATTTCTTTCAATGTAAGTTGTTTAAGTTGCTTCGTTTTTTTATGTGATAATACATTCTCTTTAATTCTATAAACAGACATAATTTCTTGTTCAGTTACAAAGTTCCGCTGTTCAAGTCTATAATTGCTGTGTCGAGAATACCGACTAATTTGTAAATCGAAATTTTTTCGTTTTCAATAACCTCTGTCACTTTCTTCGCTATCGGAAGCGAATTATAATGACGAGGCATTTGATTTAAATCATATCAAAGACGGAGTACATCGAGATGAAATACTACATTGAGTAAGCAATTATAAGGCAAATAAAATAAAAACATCTGCCCTTAAGATAAGGATATTGCTAACAGATCAACTTCCAATTAATTGCATGCCGTAGCAGCGTTAAAGATAAACAAAGTTTAGATAAACAAACGTTAAAGTTTAGATAAACAAAGGATATGCCTTTATCCATTTTTTGCAGCAATTCCACTTTTTGTTTAATGGACTCCGAAAGTTACTTTCGCTTTGTATATCCTTTACATATTAGTAAAGCGACGCATGCGCAGAAAGTTTGTAGCTTTGAGGTCCGGATTATAGATCATTCCGGATTATGGGTGTCCGAATTAACGACTTTTGACTGTATAATGAATAAAATTAAAGATAGGGAATGTGCAAATGTTTCATGCGATACTAAATTACTACTCACACTCGTAAAATATTATGATTCTCAGAATGAGTTTTAACAAGTAATATCCCATGAATTTTGATATGTGATGAAACCGCTAACTCAGTTAACAAATCTATTCTAAATGAATTTAAAACACTTGAACTCAAAACGTGTCATTTATCACAATGATAACTGAAACACAGTAATTTCCTGTCTAACATAAATTTGCATTAATATGACTGCATAAAAGTTATAGCATTTAAACTGAAACCTATGGCAATTAGAAGTAAGGATTCCATAAAATATTCCTCATTTTCCTGACTTCATATATATAAACAATACTTGCACACTTAATTTACAAAATAATACTATGCAAATAATTCACACTATAACAACAGAAAAGATTATCATAATTTTTAACCACCCCTTAAAGAATAAAACAAAGTATAGAACAAATACAGAACATGAGGACATACACAGCTTCTATAATGTAATGCATGTTGTAATGTGAAATGGAAACATGGAAAACTATAAGGTATTTTTCCTCTTCTTTCAGCACACCTTTGTGGTGTAACAGTAGCACACTTGGCATGTATTACAGAGGTCCAGGTTCGAGTCCTGGGGAAAGCACTGCTCATTTTCCACATGTCTGCTGCGTCGTCACCACCAGGTTTTGGTCTCCTAATCCCCGGTCACCCTTTAGAAGGGGGAGTATATAAGGTTTTTTAATCCCTCCTTCTAGCATGCCTTTGTGGCGTAACAGTAGCACACTAAGCGTGTACTCGAGAGGTCCAGTATCGAGTTCCGGTGAAGGCATTGCTCATTTTTCATGTCCCTTGCTTCAAAATAACCTAATGACTTTACAACACAGTACAGAACAAAGTCCGAAATCCGGACTCGTTGGGACTTCGGCGACTCAGGATTTGGGATTTTTCCGGATAATACATAATCAGTTTAAATCTAGAAAGATGGCATACAGAAACTATATAATTAAAAATATGAAATAATGAAGTATTTATGATCTAAATGTAATCTTTGGGTTTATGAGTATCATCAACAAATCTATTTTTAGCATATGGAAAGAACTTTTTGGTAAATTTTTCCTCGTCAACATTTTTTAGCGCAACAGAAATCTGTAATCATCGCCAAGTGTAATGCATACCACAGTCCTTTATTATTCAAATACTAACATAAAAAAATTTATTAGGTATCGCTACATGAGCCATTACTCAAGTTGTCCTGTTTTGATAAACATGTGGTAATGAAAGGAAAGTATAATAAATAATGATTCGCCAGGTTGGCATTAGATCAACAATGTATCTGCGGAGTGTTCGGTTTGAGATGTGTGCGAAAAAGCAGATATGCAGCAACGGAGCCAAATTACTGATTGTACAAATTTATGCTAATATGTTTCTTCAATAACAAGGTATTTTATTTACTGTGGAAGTAAAATTAAAAATCAGGATTCTCGAGGTGTTTTATTATGTGAGGAGAAAGAAATTAAATACGAATGCGTAAAGCCTACGAGAAAAATTTTGTTGGGTGGTTTTGAGGTCTGGATTTTAGATCATTCCAGATAATGAACGTCCGGATTTCGGACTTTGTACTGTATGTAGAAAATGAAAAATAATTTTAATACAGATATTTACAAGAAGTTTTCAAAAGAACCATTACCAACTGTAAGAAGAAGTGACTGGTGTACACTTTTGAAGATATCTGGCATGTCATGTATTTTCACAGCAGTGATGCTAATTCTGGGACAAGAAAGAAGAAAAATCAATTCACTTCAATAGATAAAGCTCTTCAAATGTTTCTGAAATAAAATCATCTAGGCAGGAGAGATCTGGAGATGCACATTACAAAATGATGGGTCCATCGAGCCCAATTCATTGGTTCAGGAAACTAAGTATTCTATACTCCTGTTGTATTCAAGTTAGCACTCCATTATGCTGGAACCACATAAGTTCATGGACATTTGTTAAGATGACTCCAATAAACAGGCAGGATTTACCAGAGGTAAAACAGCACTTGAGTCTGCCAAGGCTTGCTTACAGAATGTATGGGGTGAATGTAATTAGGTGATTCTGGATGATCCCCACGCAGACATTCTTGGGAATATCAGTATTTCTTGTAAATATATCGATAATTAAAATAACTTTCCTATATTCTCCCCATGTTTCCGCATTTATGTTTCCTATTGCAGAAAACACTGTAATATAAAAATTGTCACTTTTGCCACGTTTTATCATTTCTCAAAATTGTGATCATCTTTGCTATTATATGATGTATGTATTTACATATTAAAGTAACAAATATTGGAAATATCAATATTTCTCATGTCATGATTAAAATTACTTTTTATTTTCCATGTTTTAACCATTAACCATATTCCTGCATTTACGCTTCATACTTTACCATGCATTGTATTAAAAAGTTATTGCTTTTGCATATTCCTTCAGCCCTTACAATTGTGACCATCTCAAAGGAGTACACTTAAATAGTTTAGATAATTATATAAAATAAGTTTTTTATATGTAAAATTTACAGAATGCAACATTTAAGGGTTTGCTATACTAGGTTCACTAACTTTTCAGTTTGTTAAGTATTAGCAGATGCTTTCACATCTGTTAATATTTGCATCTGGTCAGTGTTAACCAATATAACAGATAAATTCTGACAGAGAAATGAATTTGCAGGAACTACAATATACCAAAATGCTATTTTTAATCTGGTTGACTCATTGCCAGATAACTGTCTTATAGCCGCTACTGTTACCAGAGCTGGTTGCTCGATATCCTGACTTCTGTATGTTCTGCGCCACAAAATAATTTACAATTTTAATCATTTCATTCTTCTGTTATAATATATTTATAAAATAAACATTAATTCTGCTGATTTTCTTCATGTTGCAGCAATAATAATAATCAGCAGTATAATTTTTTAAAAATTTTTTGACCAAAAAGTAATGGTTACTAGTTATTTAGAGAACTGTTAACAGATGAAAGAGTTGAATAAACTATTCACCTTTATCAAAATGTAAATCCTTTCGGTTTCGTGCATTTCCTTCATTATCTCCTATTCAGACAACAGAACAAAATCTATACAATGAACTTATTTTTTTGTGCTTCATTTGATGCTAAGTGAATGCAGTAATCATGTGCATTATTTAATTTAAAAAATATTTAATATTAAATTACATATATTTAATATTAAAAAATATAAATAACTAAATAAACTAAAAATTTTATATTTAATATTAAAAAAAAAAAAAAAAAAGCTTTTTTTTTTTTAAATTTTTTTATATGAAACCGAGCTTTAATTTTTGGAATTTTTATATTGATAACTGTACTGTTAACTACTGTCTCTCTATTTTCTTTTACTTTTACTTTCAGTTTTAATCCTTTCAAAGCTCAAGCAAAGTGTTAAAAGTGAAATTTTATTATTTGAATACATTTGTAGAACTTAAGAAAGTATATATATATATCTATAATATAATAATAAAAAAAGAAAAAAAAAAAAAAAAAAAAAAAAGGTGGGATAAATCCTTTACAGCAACAACAACAACACAACAAAAAAAAAAAAAAAAAAAAAAAAAAGAGAGAGAGAGAGACTATAACTAATAAATAAAACCAATCCATGACAAACAGAAACTTTATATTTAAGCAAATATAAAACGTCAATAATCATGCAAATGTGATAACTCAGTTTTAAAACAATACTTACTAAATCTAGCTCAGATTTATCAAATTAACTTTGCTCCAACTATAAATTATCAAAATGTATCAATGTCATAAAATGTCGTCCACTCAAGGCTGAATTTAAATTATTTAAATCTACCTTAAAGACACTGATGATTAGCCTAAAACCTGAGTGATTTAAACTGAATCACAATGGCATTGGTGAACCTTAAGGCTTAAAGTACTTGCAGTACTGTTAAAAACTTAACCTCCAACAATTTAGCAATGTATAGATATAAGTACGAATGTATGTGTGTGTATACATATGCAAGTATATGCACATAACATTATTAGTTTATTGTCCAATCAACTGCAGTACTTTCACACACATTAAGCTCTTTGTCACACCATTTCATGAATGTCAATTCCTCTGCCCAAGAATACATGAATCTAACAGAAATGAATGGTATTCTGGAACCACTGAACCAATTTTCAACATAAAGGCCCTTTTTTTTTTAACATTGCACCTCCAAATGATTTCTTTGTTACTATAAAGTTTCATGTTGTGACCATTTTTGCATACTCGTTGATCAGGTGAATGACTTCTTTCTTGAAAAAAATTATATGGCATCCCCTCATTACTTGGCAAATAAAAGATTCTTAATGTTATATTCACACACACACACACACACAAAAAAAAAAAAAAAAAAAAAAAAAAAAAAAAGGCAATGAGTATATTTTTAAATAGACAACCCGAATTCAAAAATTTCATCAAAAACTAATAACATATGATCATACGGTGAGAGCAAATATGCACTTCAGTGCTAATATATGATTGTGTGGTGAGGTATAAAAACATGTAACCAAATTTTAAAGACATATCTCGGTTGATTAACGATTCCATCTCAGGGGCCAAACAAAGAAATACCCACTTTTTCCCTCCCTATTAAAAAAATACAAGTCAAGATAAAATCCTTTTTGAGGAAGTGCATAAATGCAATATAACTTCAAAAAACTTGGACATTTATAAAAAATACATATAACCTTGTTAACTGCATACCTACTGGATTAGAATAAACTCTTCCTCTAGCCAATGTCCATCTTCAGCTATAAACTCATCTGATATCTTACAGTATAAAAGAGATTTGCCTGCCACAGAATTTCAATAAAATAGTTCTATTCTTGAATCAAAGACCATGGTTCATAAGTTAACCACATCAACTGTTACAAGCAGCTGCAGAGGCCACTACCATGAGTCTGCTCTTCCCATCTGAAAGAAATGCAATGAAACAATGTAAAGATGATTAGGTACTCTTGTGTTATCAGGACTGGATTAGAAAATATTATGTATATATGCACATGTGCATGCATGTATACACGTATATGTGTGTGTAACACACATACATATGTACACTTCGGAAAAAAAAAGGGGGGCACAGTTCTACATCTCATGTTTTACCAGGCCAATTGACCAAATTCAAATTGTATTTTTTATGTCTCGAAAGCGCAACATAGGATATACATTAGATTTATATGTAGCATTGTTCTAACATAGGTATTTTGACACAAAATTGGACTTTTCTGAAATAACATGCCAATTTTTTTACATATTTCGATTCTAATCAACTTATGCCAGACTGCCAAGTTTTGTAAAAATCGCATGACTGGTTTTTACAAAATTAGCTCTTAAAACTTTAACTCCTTAATGTTAATTGAATTTGGTTTATATTTATTAATACCTCTTTTTTTATTCTTCCTTTCACATTACGAAATTGAGGTTCATTAGAAATAAAATTCACCCATTTTTTACGATTTATTTTTTTAATTTGTATTTTTAAATAATTTTTATAAATTTTTCGAAAGCAATTTCGAATTATAACCTATAAAACTTTTACCATCATCTTAAAATAGATGTATTTCTAAGCATACCTGCAAACAATTAGTTTTTTTATTCAAAGTTTTCTAAGGTATACATGAATTTACATAATGGGCATTTTGAAACGTTGCATCTTTTTTTTTTCGCGATTATAATGCAAAATGTGGTTTATGGATTTTGTTACAGTGAATTGCCACAGCTATTTTTAACCTCAAATTTCAAATTAACTTTTATGGAGAATTAATTATATGGAATTTCCCCCCTCAATGATGCATAGTAAATATTTATTAATACTATATGAGAGCTATTTTGTTTTAAATTATACATGATATTGTTCAAATTTGTAACATTTTTTTTTTCTTTTTAATTTCTTTCTTTCTTCCTTTTTTTTTAAATATTTGTAAGAGTAAAATTTTACCTTCGCTGTGTTATCGTCTGCTACTTTACTTTAACTTCATTTAAATCAAACTGTCTAAAACTGAAAAAGTTCATTTGATGTCTATTTTTCACAATGTCTTTAAACAAACAGGATGCTGGAATAATTCTGGGACATTTCCAATCTGAAAAATCATTTAGGCAAATAGCCGATACCACTGGCCATTCTAAAAGTAGAATTCATCGCATTTGATGCAACTAAAATGCATTTCATGCAACTGATATTTTTAAAAAATTGACAAGAATGCAAAATTTATGGAAGTGTAATCATCAAAAAATTTTAATTTTCTTAAATTCATTAATGTCAGTACTGAAAACAAATGTAGAAGGAAAGAAGAAAATTAGGGAAAAAAAAAAATTTGAAGGGCAATTTACTTCAAGAAAGTTGGGTGTTCAAAAGAGAAAACACTTAGATGTGTACACCAGCAAATACCGGCAATTGAGCTCGTGCTAACGGAAAAGACAAAACGATATGATTGCAGATTAAAGTGAAGAGTAGGATGATAAAATTGTGTAAAGCAATGGGCATAATGATAAAAACTGTTTAAAGCAATGTATGCAAGTCATCCTAAGTTAAAAATGTTCATTATACAGTCAAAAGACGTTAAACCGGACTCGTCGGGACTTCGGCGATTCCGGAGATTATCGATTTTTCCGGATTATAGATTATCAGTTTAAATCTCATAAGATGGCATGCAGAAATTCTAAAATTAAAAATATGAAACCGTAATTTATGAAATAAAGAACAATTATGATCTAAAGGGTATCAAAATTTACAAAAAAAAAAAAAAAAAAAAAAAAAAAAAAAAAAAGCTTAATATTTATTTGTTTACTTTATTAAACATTTCTTTCAATGTAAGTTGTTTAAGTTGCTTCGTTTTATGTGATAATACTTTCTCTTTATAAACAGACATAATTTCTTATTCAGTTACAAAGTTCCGCTGTTCAAGTCCCGTTAATTGCTGTGCCGAGAATACCAACTAACTTGTCAATCGAAATTTTTTCGTTTTCACTAACCTCTCTGTCACATTCTTCATGTCTTTATCCATTTCTTGCAGCAATTCCACTTTTTGTTTGATGGACATCGAAACATACTTTTGTTTTGTACGATCCTTTGGGAGCTCCAGAATCGGAAATTCTATTTGACATAATCGAAAGTTCAAGTTTACTTTTATAATATTGAGCTTACAGTCTACAAAAAATAATAAACCGGATACAATTCGAAGATTAAAATAGATATTTTTAGCTTATACCGTCCGTTATACATAAAACGCGCACGTGAAAACATATTCTGCGCTTGCGCACAAGCATATGCGCAGTCGTAAAAGGTCTTACACGCACGCGTAAACACCTATGCGCATGTGTCAACGCGGCGCATGCGCAGAAAGTTTTTAGCTTTGAGGTCCGGATTATGGTGTCCGAATTAACGACTTTTGACTGTACATCTCTCTTATTTATATATATTTTCTGAACGGCTCATTGAAAGGCGTGTTAACTGTGCTTTACTGTATTTTCTCTTTTAATATATGCTGTATACAAATGCATCATAGTCTGGATCACAAAGTATTCTTTCAAAAGAAATGCAATTCAAATAAATAAAATCAAATTGTGGAAAAATTTATATTAATAAAAATACACTGGTGTGCAAAACTTAAGCAACAATGTAAATTTTAATCAGATAGCCATTAAATTGTAGAAAAGGGGTTCTTACATTCAGTAGAAAGTCATGTGTATGCAAATGTCAAGAAAAAAAACGTCACAGGCTACGTCAGCGTACACAAAACGCATACGGTCGGCGTGCTCAACTCGAGACTATCATAAAAGGAAAGATGGAGACGCAATTAAAGACATTTGCCGCAAGTACAGGGAGTCCTTTCGTAAAATATGGCTAGAAGAAATGATCTGAATGACTTCACACGTGGAAGAATGATCGAAAATCTGGAGTAGGGGCAAAGTTTTACCAGTAGAGCTGAAGAGTTTGGAATCAACAAAAGTATCGTTTCACACGCTTGGAAAGCCTTACAAACCATAGGTATGGCTGTTAGAAAGGTTGGTGGTGGCCGCCCAAGGAAAACAACTGCAGTGGATGACCGATATATTGTCCTGCAGGCAAAAAGAGCCTGAAACCAGTCATCACACTCCACAGTTCAACTATTGTGTACGGCAAGGGGGCGACAAGTGTCGTGGTTTACTGTGTCCAGACACCTTCACAAAAGTGGCTTATTCGCCTGCCGTTCTGAACGCTGCATCCCTTTGAAACTTGGCCATTGGCATTACCGTTTACAGTGGTGCAAGAAGCGCAAAAACTAGGCATCTCATCAATGGAGTCGTATTCTCCTTACGGATGAGAGTTGTTTTAGTGCCACAAGCGATTCTCAAAACAAATTGATTTGGAGAGAGGTCGGGATACGGTTTAATCTCAGTAACATCATGGAAAGAGACTGTTACGGTGTCCCGAAGATCTCGTCTGGAGAGGCATTATGCTGAACGGGTGGACAGAGCTTCACGCTTTCGACAGAAGTTCTGTAACCGGAAATCGCTATTGTCAGGAGGTGATCCTCCCCCCCATGTGCGTCTGTTCCGAGGTGCCATTGGAGCAGATTTCATTTTTATGGATAATAATGCATGGGCACACCAGATTCCTGCTGTTCAGAAGCTACTGAAAAGTGAAGATACATGCCGATGATTATATACATGCAGTTACTCAACACATTTTCATTGCAATGGATTTTAAAAGATTTCTCTAAACATAAGTTATAGGTCTTCTGGTCTCTTCTTTGGGGCTAGATAATTTGATAATGTTCTTGCAATGCAGAATAAGCAGCTGTTAAGTTAATTGATAATCCGGTTGAATGATTTTGTGGTCAGTCTAGGCTAATTTATAAACCTTTCTATTCCTACTGCAATGACTGAGAAAGCTATATCATGCAACTAATAATCAACTCACTGGTTCGCAAAACAAAACTAAACATCCACATTTCTCCAGGAAAGATAATAAGAGATTCTACAGCAAACTAATGCAGAAAATTAATTTCAGCGATGATCACAGTTCCCTAGATTTTGTTTTTTAAAATTATTTCTTGAATTCAGTTACATAAGTTTTGTTCAACAGGTCTACATGCAATATTCACCCCAAATTTTTATAAATAAATTTAAATTTTTATGGTAAAATTTTTTATGGTATTCTAAGTGTAGTAGTTTATAGCTGAAAGTATTTTTCTTACCTTATCACTCAAGCAACATATGGGAGATATTATGAGGTAGGCTGACCATATAATGAGATTTATAAAATAATCTATAAAAGCTATGATAAATAAACACAACTTTCCTTAAAAATGTCTTTCAAGACATCAATTTTCTACCTGCGTCATCATTTATTAGCACCAACGAGAAGTGTAACAATGCACAAGTCTTGTATACCCTTGAAGATTATAATGACCAAAGATTAATTTCTGGGTTTATTACACGGCAGTTGAATACCCTATCGTTATCATAGAAGACCTCTCGTGTGATAGATTCTGATATTCAAACTGCTTTGTGTGAGCATTCAAATTGGCTCTTGAGATTGCTTCACACTCCTTTTCCAAGCATGTCTGATGTGATACGAGTAGATGTTATTGGTAATAGTAAATTCAGCCATGTATTGGGTGTGACTGTGAGCCTAGTGCATTGATATGATTGATTGTTGCAATGATGGGCTGTGGCTATAGCGATCACGCAGTGGGATAGTGGTGATCATTTGGTGTTGCTTGGCCATCTATTAGCACTGATAAGAAGTGCAACAACGTATGAGTATTGTATGCTCTTGGAGATTATAATAAACTTGCAATTTGATCCTGGATCTATTATATGGCAGTCAACTACCATCCCACTATTATAAAAGAACTCTTGAATGGAAGACTCTTGATATTCAAACAGCTTTGCAGTGCAAATGTTTTGACTGCCTTCAAAGACTGAAT